GAGGTCTCCTCCACATAGTCGTGAGGGGGAGAATTGTTGGGTTATAGGCCTTTTTCCCTTCCTATGTGGATAAATAAAAGCCCAATTTGGACCAACCCATTTTTGCCCATAGGACCATTCTTATGAGGCAAATATAAGTCTATTTAGATCTTATTTTCATATACACAGAGAGTTTTTTCAGCAGCCAAAAAGAGAGAAAGAGAGCAATTTTCGCAGTCAAAATTCAGCCCTAACAGCCAACTTCAAATTGCGATTTCCGCTTCGTTTCTTGTCCGATTGAGCTGATTTTTGGACAGAATATTATCTTCATCTCAATCTTTGATTAGGAACTGACATAGTTGGATTTGGTGGCCTGCATCTTCAGTTTTGCTATCGTGAACAGTAGCTGCGAAATTGGTGATTTTGCTCCTTTAATTCTCTAGATTTGGTGCAATCTTATTTTGTTGTTGCTCGTTGTTTGGCACTTGTTTTGTGGACAATTTTGGAGAACAATATTGTAACTCTTGGTGATTATAGTGGAGCTTTTGGTTCCGTGGTTTTTTACTCTTCACATCGAAGGGTTTTTCACGTAAATCTTGGTGTCTTATGTGATTGGTTTATTATTGCCTTGTTATATTTGTTTGGTTGAATTACTTGCTGCCTTAATATCATATTGCTTGTGGTTGTTTGTCTTCTCTTGGTTCAAATCGAGAAGGGAAAGTATAGACTTGGGTATTCTTCCGCTATTATCTTGTCAGGCATTCTTTGTTAGTGCTTTGTCTTTCCCAACAAGTTTTCCACTATAGCTTTCATGCCTTTGTGCCATTTTGTTTAAAAATGAATTCATTTAGTTCCCTTTTAACTTTTCTTTACATCATTTAGTTAATAGTATATATTTTTATCTAGTCAAGAGGCTTTCTGTAATGATCTATCCTACTCTTAATTAATTATTATTTCTCCCTTTTGGATACAATATCAACACCTTTTGTAGAAGCATATTAGCTCTTAATTATGTTCTTACTTCATAGAATAATGTGTCTATCTTTGTCGCTAGTTAATCATTTGATCATGCGTTCGTTGGGGGCTTTTATCTCTTTTCTAATTCTTTTCTCCTTCTTTGTGTGTATGTATATCTCTCTCGAGTCCATGGTGTACTCATCTACCTTGCATTTTCCGAGTTGAGCCATAAAGGCTCGATCTTTGTCTTCTCCATTCCATGAGTCAGCCTCCTATGTATTTGGAAGCTGTTATAGGTCCCAGAGACCCAACATGCTGCTGGAATGTTCAAACGCCCGAGAAATGGGCTGTATACATGATGTATACAACGTTTATACACTGATATACAGGTTCATGGCAGAAAAATATGCAGCCAAAAATGTGAAAATATAGAGATGAGGTAAAATGTAGGTGTGTGGAAGCAGGAGACACGCAAAAAACTGATATACATACCAATATACACCGATATACAGTCAATGTATACAAAAATGAGATTTGGTTAAAACTCAAGATTTCCACCCAAGAAGGGCACAATTTCATCATCTCTTTTACTCCTTTAATTGATTTGATTATGCTTTGACTTATTACTTTTAACTCTAACCATAATTCATTTTAATTAACTTACTTAGATCCCCAAAATAGGAGTTATTTTCTTTATGTTAATTTACCTTTAAAACATCTCTTGTGTTCATTTATTTTATGTCTAGTACACTAGTCAAATTTTTATATCGTTTATTAAGTATATTTGTTCTTGAAAGGATAGCTAATCAAAATATATTTGTTCTTAAAAGGATAGCTAATCAAATAAACTAAAGAAAAACATGTTTTTTTTCTTTAGTATCTCACTTTAAAAAGTTTGGTTCCCTTTTAAAATATAGTCATCATGTTTGGTTCAAATTATATATTCTTAAAAACAATTCAAAGGAGTGTAATTAGTGCAAATTTTTTAAAATCCTAATAATATAATTTGTTTAATTAAATATTTCAATTAAGGTCCCTTTTTCTTAAAAGTTCCAATTTAATATTACAAATTAATCTTTCTCAAAAAAAATAATAATAAACAAATAAATAGTACTATTATAATTAACCTAAGTCATAGGATAACAGCGTGTTAGCAGACGTTTCAAATGCCTAAAAAACCTTCTTGAAGCGTAAATGAGAACCTCTTACACGTTTGCTCTAAATTTATTAAAATTTAATCTGTTAAAATCTTTTTAAATTAAGTTTTCTTAATTTCTTTAAAAAATTAAGTGGATATTCTTGTTTAAGTATTTTCATAAAATGTTTTATACTTAGAACATTTTAAAAAGTGATTTTTCTAAAGATAGATAAATTACAGCATAACAAGTGGCATCGCCCTCGGAAAGTGCGGACCTACCCTTTTTGGATGAGTAAGAGATCTAAGCCTTCTTCAAGTCGTCTTCAAAGCACTTCAACGATCGAAACCTAAAATGTTGGAGAAATGGAGTTAGTACACTTGTACTAAGTATGAGACCATATGCACACATACTTTTAAAACATGCTAAGAAAAGGGACATGTTATAAAGGTATGCAATTTACTTTGAAAACACTTATGCATATTCAACAAGGCCATACCAAATCACTTAGGCATATTCATTAAGTCATAGGCATGTACATCACAAGACCAACAACATCAAACTAGTCAAGTCAACATGCATATCAGGTAATTAGACATATAGTCCAAGTAACTCTATCAACAAGTCATAACCACAACTAGCATGAATAAGAGTTCATTATAACATAACCAAATCAAGACAATTACCCATAACCCCTATCAAGTTAACAAGTTCAATGACCAAGCAAATCTCATAACCTTACTCAATCAAGGAACCCAACAAGAATCATGACTAACTTCCTACTTCACATAGCATAGCATTTAAGAGTACATAAACATCATTCTTTGACAATATAGACCAACACATATTCATAAGTGACACCAATCAACATATAGTATCAACAATGTGCAAGTTCATCATATACATATCATGTATCATTATAAGCATATCCATGCATAGTAACAACCTCCTAAAAATCCCTTCAAGGCAAACTAGTTCAAGGCATAGGTAGTCTCATACCCCTATCTAGGCTAAGTCAACCTCCCAAGTCACCTTAGTTAGTTTGTACTCCATTACTTCATTTTATTTTAGGGAACACTTGCCTTAACCGACATAGACCACAAGAGCGAAGTGCGGAATCCGGTGTTGAAAACCTTATATCGAAGGAAGGTGGTATACCGGCCAAAGTAAAAACAAACATAAACATAGCTTTTTAGGTGGATCCACTAGCTAGTCTTCCTGGCAACATAGTTCAAGAACATGATTCGGGAATTGAGGATTGATAATTTTTGGGTTGAGACACAAACACTTCTTCGTCCAATTTTCCTTGAAGGAAAGAATTATTGACATCAAGTTCATGGATTGGTCAATTATGTTGCAGAACTATAGATAGAACTAACCTTACCATTGTTGGTTTTACAACAGGACTGAATGTCTCATGAAAATCCAAACTAGGGCGCTGCATGAATGCTTTAGCAACTAGACGAGCTTTGAAACTGTCTATAGAGCCATCTACTTTTTGCTTAATCCAATACAATCATTTGCAGTCCACAATATTATTGGACAAGTCTCGCATAACGAGTTTCAAGATTTAATTTCTGATTAAGGCATCATACTCTACTTGTATTGATTGTCTACACTCTTTATGTTTATCACGTGTTTGAAAGTTACATGTGTAGGAATCAAATGGGTTAGAAAAGTGAGTTTTCTTTTTAAATTGGAGATGTTATTATGAGACCCAGTTAAAATTCAATTCAAGGGTGGTGGGGGAATCGAGGTAGCATGTGTTGCAGTAGAAGGATCATTGGATGTTAGGGGTGGAAGAGTGGTGTTGCTAGGGGATGGGAGTGGATGTTGGGTTTTGGATGAATTTACCTTTAGTGATGCGTCTCTAGTACGTAAGCAAAGGGTTATGGGTGGCAGTATACTACAACAAAGAAGGGGAAGGAAATTGAAAAGAAGGAGCAGAAAGTTGTGTATTACTTGATGTCTCTGCAGCTACTAGTAATTGGTCGTGGCTATTGGAATGAACATCACTTGGGGATGAGGTTGTATTATGAGAGTTGGACTCTACAGATATTAGAATAAGTGGTGGGATAAGGAGAGGAGGAGTTGGAATTGTTGTTGGAGTCTCCCCTTTGGAGTTAACAACTCCCAACATAATTGGGAAGACTATTTCCGCTAATGAATGAACATTCTTTTAAAAGGAAATTATTTTTCAAAAAATTGTACATCACGACTTACAAAAAATTTTGACTGAACCGGGTCAAAGTAGATATGAGTATGATGAGTTTGACAGATACCTAAATATACGCACGAGGTGGACCGTGGATCAAGTTTATTTTTGGTATAAAGTTTAAGCCATGGATAACAAAGAATATCAAAATCTCTTAGGGTGGTATAATTAGGACATCCACCAAATATTTTTTGGTAGGGAGAATCATTATTCAAAATGGGATTGGGAAGTTTGTTAATAAGGTAGAAATCATAATGACAGACAAAAGACCATAATTCATGTGGTAAGAAGGTTTCAGGAAGAAGAGTTTTAGCAATTTCAAGAATAAGACGATGTCCACGTTCATCTATGGCAACACGTTGAGGTGTGTAGGGAGATGAAATCAAGTGTTCAATGCCATTTTTTTAAATAGGGATGAAGACCGATGAATTCACCCCCTCCGTCTGTATAAGTTAAAGAATTTTTGTTTTGAAATTTTTTTCTGCTAAAGGATAAAACTTTGAGAATATTGAAGCAACCTCACTTTTGTTTTTGAGCATATACAAACAAATATATTTGGTGTATTGATTAACAAAAATGCAGTAATATAATTTTTCATCGACAAAACATGTGATGGTACCCATACATCACTAAAAACAATCTGAAAAGGAATATTACTGGAAAAAGTGAGCCGTTGAAATCGAAAATGATGCGCTTAATTCGAAGAACAAGAATTACAAGGGTCAAACTTGTCTTTTCCAGCAACAACAGATAAAAAAAATTTCTTCAAAATAAGATGTAAAATTCTAGAGCGGTGATGACCCGATCAACAGTGCCAAAGTTAAAGTGGGGCTTTTTTGGAGGAGATGTGAATGGATGGCATCCTAGATTGCAGATGCAATCACTCATATAGTCCATTATTATTCTTGTCTTGTACCATCAGCTTCAGAGTATGCGTCCTTCACAATAAAAGTAAAAAGGAAGAATTCAATAGATGCGAGATTATCTTGACAAAACTTAGCAACAAAAATGTGATTCTTATTTATTAAAGGAGCACAAAGTGTGTCAGAAAGCTTAAAAGCAGTATTAGATTCCTGAACCAAAGTTGAACCAATATGAGCTTTGGGAATGGTTTTACCGTCACCCATAGAAATCTCGTCACTTTCTGTACACTCTTCAAGGTTGTGGGGTTCTGTAGTTACATGGTGAGTTTCTCCAGAGTCTAGAACCCAAGAGTTTTCAGATGATTGTAAGCCAGATTCAAAGTTAGCCTTAACTTCAAAATAATTGTGTGACTTGGAGCGACAAACATATACCTTGTGTCCGAACTTTTGGCACAATTGGCATTTGACAGATTGCTTATATTGACTCCTATTTGGATGATTGTTGGAGTTCAATTGCTTATTGCTGGAATTCTATTGTCGATATTGAGATATTTTCCACTGCTGATTGTTGAAGCGAGGATTGTTCCTGTTGAATTGGTGAGGCGTGTTGGACTTTTGGGCAATAACAATTGTGATCACAAAGAATGGTTTGTTCAAATCTTGATGTTTTAAGAAAAAAATTCATATTTTGTGAGCTTGTGAAATAATTCTTCAAGGCTCAAAGAAGAGTCTCGTGCATGTATTACAGTAGAGAGTTCTCTATACTCGAGGCCAAGTCTACTAAGAATTTTGACAATATGTTCATTGTCGTTGAAAGGTGAACCAGAAACATTGGGAGCATCAGAGAGAGAACGAACCTCTTGTAAGTACTTTGCAATGACTTTTTATCCTTCTTAGTACTTCTACAATTGATCACTCAAGCTAAAGATGCGAGTATGGCTTTTGTTGGTATAGGTTGTGTGAAGAAGTGCCCATACTTTGGTAGTAGATGGTGTTGCTGCAATAGTTGGAGCAATCGTAGGATCAACGTATGCCATCATTCCTTGTTGGATCAATTGATCCTGAGAGATTCAGGTCTAATAGTTGTTATTTGATATAAGACGATCATTTTGGGTAGTAGTAGGTGATAAAACGGTTTTTTGCTCCATCAAGATGTCTCATGAGTTGATGTCCATTTAGTAGCATCACAAGTTGTGCTTTCCATGTTGAAAAATTGAGAGTACTTTTAATAGGTAACTGCACAACATGGTTAAATTGTACCACATGAGTAGTGGTCAAAACTGTAGAACTGCTAACAGCAGTAGCATCAGTGACTAGAGTCGTAGGAGAGAGCTTAAGAATAATGAAATGAATCTAACTTGGTGGATCTTATAGATGCTTTGATACCATATAAAGATTAATACGATAAGGCCAAAAGATAATTTTATTAAGTCTTGTAGAAAGCTATTATATTTATATACATAATCTTCAACCAGCTGATGCTAAAGTGCAGACCACCACCTACACATGATCTGCACCTAGCTTATGCTAAATTGAAACTGTAACTACTCCTAAATGTGCTTCACATAGTAGGAGACTTATTCAAAGTAGTAACAAAAGGTAAATAAAATAAATACTAGAAGTTACTGTAGTTAGCAACCTGAAAATAACGTTAATAGAAACTTATTTTGTACTACTTTTTAACTAACTCAGAGAAATTGATTTTCCTTCTTATTGACATGATTAATGGGGCATCTAATATTAGATAAAGGGAAATCTCCTCTTGCAAAACTAGTGGTTCCCAACTTCTTGAATAATATTCAAAGTAGCTTTATTAAGCATGTAATAAAAACTCTTCTCTTTGTTTATTTTATTGCCTGATTCTTTCTCATATCTCTCCAAAATATCTATAAATACCAAAGGTATGTTGTACGCGGATACAAATATCATGGTATCATCTACAAACTTAAGGTGATTAATGTTGTCACTCCACTTAGACATGTCAAAACTCTTGAAATCTTTGTTGTCAAATAGATTATTCAAAGCATTTGACAATACCTCAGATAATAGAATAAATAGAGCAAGTGACAAAGGGTATCATTGCTCCATTCATATTAGATGAGTGAAAGATATCATGTGTGTGACCATTGATAAAGATGTAGCAACAACAATCTCCAAATTTTATCGATCACCATTGTATTAAAATTCATTTTTGTCTACCTACTTTATCAAGAAGACCAATTCACCCTAATTTTCTGAGATTAACTTTGATAATACACCTTCAATTCTTTCATCTATTAATTTGGATATGATCTTATTCAGAAAATTACTCAAACTAATAGGCCTCAAATCTGAAAACACTGCACCACCTCCTTTGTTTCGACGGGAAAGTAGCATCCCATTCTACTACTCCCACTTAGTGCTCCTTTGGAACCCCCCTAGACTAGGCACATCACATTTAACCATTCACATAACCTTCATTAGCATTAGACATAATACCAACATGCTTCATGAACATTAGACATAAGGTCAAATTACTTCACTAACATCATATAGAAACCCATTCATACATTAACATTACAAAGACACACTAAGAATCCCTCCAAATGTCTGCTTGTGCAATGCATATATGTCGTCCCATTCCACCACCTACCCTAAGTAGTACTCCCTTAAGAAGACCTAGTTCATTACATTCATTTGTTGGGGGCAATCATTAACCACATAGACAATGGGAGTTTAACATCGAATCTTGTTATTAACCCTTACTGAATGAGAGATCCCCACTTGCCTAAGGTAGGGTAATTCTTTTAGCCTTTACGTGGAACACCCCTAGCTAGTCTTATGCGGGCGGATATTTAAGGTATATGGATATTGCTTCTAAGTACTATACCTTAACTCACGGAGAGTACCCATTTAAAGAGGTTACTTTTGGATACTACACTTCTACTCACGGAGAGTATCCACCCCTTTCAAATCCTCTTGGTGCTAAGCATTAATCCCCATAGAGTTTTAGACTTTCATTACATTCATTAACTATAGGTTAAGGGATTGCTACTAAGTACTACATCTCAACTCACGAAGAGTACTCATCCCAACCTCTCATTCATTCATTGGAAATCTTTTAGGAATATTTAGGTTGCTACTAGACACTACACCTCTACTCATGGAGAGTGTCCACCCAAAATCCCGCATTCATTCATTAGAGTTCTATTGAGAAAACTTTTCAAATAGACTCACATTAATTACATTTTCATTAGCTTCATTCATTCATTCATTTATTCATTGAGTGTGTATATGTGAGAAAGGCTTTCAAATAACCACCATCATTCATGACATTGTATTCTAAACATGATCATACTACTTATCCTAATCCACACACAATCATACTTCACATTCACATTATACTTCAATAATCATGCTATCTTCAAGAATCACATGCATAACTTCATAACACATCGTTATACATAAGCATCATAATATTACTCACATTCAATTCCCTCAAGTCCATAACCACAATGCACATACATATTCATATACATTAGCTAAACACCGCCACCATAAGTGGACCATACCACACAAGAGCAATTCAATAAGGAATAAAACAATATAAGTCAACTTACCCTTCATCCAAGCCATGATCACCCTTTCTCAATTCTCCAACAATTCATCATAATTAGGCATTAATATCAATAAATAACAATAATACAACATAGTATAATCACAATTCTAACGATATCCAATCACATTCATCAAACCCACTTTGTAAGTCAATTCTTGAATTTGACCTAGACCTTCAATGGTGTTCTTGAGAGAATATATTTGAGAGGGAAGAGTTTGATTTTGATGTTAGGGTATAAGTGAGTGTTTAATTGATTTAATATACTTAAAATACCTAAAAATACTAAAAAATGGTCCATGACTTAATTGGAACGTAGTATGAATTTACCAATTCACCCCTTGGTTGGTCGTGGATAGGACACAGTGTTGCAGGCGACTATTGATAAGGCGTCATCTAGCTGATGGATCGTCCTATCCTCCGGTGTTTTTGTTAGGGACTCCCTAATTTGTGGTCTAATCTCCTACGACTAATTGCGGAGCCATTGCCCCTTTTGATGGGACGTTAACCATAGTCGTGGTTCAAGTTTGTCTTTAAAGCCTTTGGACAACAATTGGGTCCTCAAGGACCCTTAGGGTGGTACTTAGGGATTCATACATGTATATTTCGACCCTAAACATCACCATCTAGATACTAGGGTCACTCTCTATCATTTTAGACTCCAAACGACACACCAAAACACATAAAACATTCAAGAGCATACTAGCATACAAAAGACTAGTTTCCTGATGTCATGGTCGTCCCTTGATGTTTGACTTCAAAATCACTCAAACCTGCCATTGGATACTATGTCTCATTAATTTATCAAGTTATTAACTCAAGAAACTTATGTGAAGCTCTAGCTTTTCCATTTTCATTTTGAGGGTGTAACATCCTTCTTACGTAATAAAATCAAGTTTGTATGAGTGATGAATTCAGAAACGATGTGCCCTTCAAAGAAGGCATGAATCACGTCTAAGATATCAGTACCAACAATGTCCTAACAAGATTGGTAAAAAAGACCTCAGGTTCACTTGCACCATTATTGTTCAATTCAAACACTTTTATTTTAATCTCATCTACTATGTGTAATTCATTTGTTGTATCATTGTCTCCAACATCAACCATACACAAAATATGATTGAATAGTAACATTTCATGTGTACACTACAAGAAATATGACTTTTAACAACCATTTCTTAATGAAGGGACATCAGTTCAATAGCTATAAATATTCTTATAGTGACCGAACATATTCTTAGACGTTAAAAGTTAATTTTTTTTATCTATATTAACAATGGATAATTATCCGTCAGTAAAAATCATGATAGCCGGTCGGTAAAAATTGATTAATCAACTAATATTAGGTTGTAGTGTTTTTGCCTTTTATTTTTTCCCCTAACAACGACTTATCCCATTTTCCCTACCCATGTAAAAGTCGGCAGACATATCCTGGATGAGCGGTATCCAGAAAACCAGGAGGTTGAGACATATAGACTTCCTCCTCAAGAGTTCCGTGTAAAAAGGCATTAATTCTAGTATGGAAAAACCATCAAAACACACCCACACAATTATGGTGAAAGAACTGACAATATAATCATCACCAACATCAATTTCCTTTATGTTTTAGGAGAAGAAGGTTTGTTTCTCACCCCTATGGGCATAAATTGTTCATCTTAGAGTTTCTTCTTCAGGTAAGATTTGACAATTACCCTATAATATGTTAATTTTGCTTCAAATAAATAGGAATAGGATAACAATTGTAAGTATATGGATGTTAATATTGCTTTGATGATGTTGGTGTTCAAGAATTTGTCATACTATTGATTTCAATTATTCTATTTTGGGGTTCTTTAATTTGGGTTACAGAAGGAAGTATTTGTAGCATCATTGAATTTTATGTGTATTGTATTCTCTATTCTCTCCTTCTTTATGGATTAACTTTCTCTTTCATGTATGTTTATGAAAAAATTAAGTCTTTCTCCGATTGGACTTTCAAACATTTACAATCTTGGAGGGATAAAACAAAGTGCCAGAAAATATATGGTGATTTTGTTGGTAGAAGTTTAGCTGTGATTTGCATTTTGTTGGGTTCTATGATATAAAGTTATCGTTTGAGTTTTAGGTATATGCTTGATGTTAAAATTTTCGCCTCACTGAATCATTATGTTTCCAGTTCAGAATTTGTTGAAAGAGGAAACATTTTATGCTTTAGTTAATTTGTAGTCTCTCTTTCTGAGAGTTGTTGTTCAGTTCTTAAAAGAAGTGACAACTTGTAGGTTCTTTGTTGCTTTTTATGTGATCATCGTTTGATCTTATCGTTATATGTAGGCAATTTAAAGAATAAATAGATATGCCTTAACTTATGTATTATTAAGGTTAAGCAAAAAAAGACATTTTGTTTTGTCTCTATAAGTTGTTTTTGTTGCCCACCAGTCATGAGAGCTTTGGTATTGGATTGTGCTTTAATTTGCAACTTGAATAGATTCCTGAGTTTCTGTAGATTGTAAAAATATTGGACCATTTTGAATTATCAGTTGCTCAGGACGGGACTTTAAAGCTTATTCGGAAGTTAATCTTTTAAGATCACAAGAAAGAACTTCATTACTGAATATAAAAGCTTGGTCCGATACATACAAATGCATCATTAAATCAGAATGTTCCATTAATGCAGGAAGTGATCGCTTCTCCTTTATATAAAATGTCAATTTTTAAGAAGAAAAGGCATGAAATGCTGTTATTTTTCTTCTTCAAACTCCATGTATTCCTATTCATCCTCCTTCTTTCTCTTCATATTCTCCTTCTCTTTCTCCTTCAACAGTTTCCTCTTTTGTGCCACTCTTGCAGCCTTTTTTATTTCCCTCTCTGTAGTTATCTCTATTTCACTCTTGTTTTCTTTAGTCACAATTCTCTGTGTTTCTTTTTTTTCTTTCTTTATTCTCTTTGTTATATTTTTTTTCTTTAAGTTGAAGATTTCTTCACTATATATTTCTTGCATGACATTCTCAATAGAAATTATGACTTAAAGCTTCGTGTGTTCTTTGTGAGGTTATGTTATGGTTTTAAAGTTTGTCCTTGTGCAGTCACTATCTAAGAGAAAGGTTCTTGCACGAAAGGTCTGCAAACAAAGGTCACCTTCAATAGCATCAAGCAAACTAGTTAAGCAAAGACAATATAATACTCACTCCGGTTGATATAATCAAACATTGTCTTGTTGACTAGTTTATTTAGAATATTTAGACCATATTGTCTTCTTGAAAGATATTTTGCTAATTAATTAAAGTATATGTTTATGCATTCTTGGTATGAATAATATTATAGAAAATGTGTTTTATGTTGTTGTGTAGTGGTTGTTTTTCATCGAAAAAAGTGAAAGAGCAATCTCTTCCTTGCTATTATTGTGTATTTCTCGTAACTAAAATAGTAAACAACTACATCTTCTCCTAAATATATCTTGCTTGGTAAGTGAAAGAAATCTTCTCATAAGCTCCTCTAAGATGTGAGAAAATATTTTAATTAACTAAAGTTCCCTTGCCATAAAGAGTTTGTCGTAAAAATGATTCGTTATTCGCTTTATTATATTCTTATTCATGAAATGAATGTAGTCACTTGTTTGAATTTCTGTTTTAGGTTTTCTAAGGATAATGTTTTCTTTCTTGATAAGAATCATTATGAATAAACGTTTTTTAGGAACTAAGAATACTTGGAATAAATGATCATTCAACTTGCCAACTATGTAAAGAATTATGTTGCTTGTTTAGCTTTCTATTTTATGTAAATAATTAAGATTCAATAGAACCTATTCTACTTCTTTTATCTTAAAACTACTATGAAAAAATATAATATGAACTATGAACCTCCAGAGGAGAAGCCGCTAAACTTAACCCAATTTACAATTATAAATGAGTATAAATATGTAGCTGCTTACAAGTTGTTCACACATATTTGCTTAATAGACTTTTGTGATTCTTAAATTTCTTAAGATACTAAAGAAAAAACAATTGTTTATACTTTCTTAATTGAAGCTCATCACTGCTTTTTCCACCAAAAGTCTATCTTATTTGTGCTTTCCATTATATTAAGTAGTTTTAATAAATTAAACCATCTCTTTTGCTTAAACAAATGAGGACAGACCTGGAGTAGCTAAATGATGTCTTCGTATTTTGTTTTATTAGATTCTTACTTTTGTATGCATGATATTTTAAATGATATTACCATGAATCATGTTCTATCTTTGTCCGAACCTATCTATCTGTGCCCTTTTACTAGCTGAAAAACTTGAGCACAATTCTCGAGCAGCGGTTAGAATATTTCTATATTTGCTCCCTCATGTGAAATTTTCATTATTCCTATATACTCAAGCTGTTAAGAAATCACTTAGCTGAGAATGAGAAATTAGTTTCTTCTCAATTATTCTTATTTTTGGATCGTGATATAGTTAAGAGGTAAAATCACATCTTTTTTCAAGCTCTCTTTCAAGATAGAGATTCTAATCAATGTCTCTCTAAAATTTCAAGAGACCTTAAAGTGTATACTTGTTTGAATAGTGTGGTGCACCATTATTTTTCTTATAATGTTCATTCTGCTAATGTTTTGATTATGATTTATGCATCTTTGTGAAAAATAAGTTTGTTGATATATATTTAGTGTGGCGGACTCTTAAATGATGCTTTAAACATAATCAAACTGACGAAACATTTTTGTTTAAGATTTTGAAATTCAGTTGATCATATGTCTGTGTATGTTTGTTATGTAGTTGGGTATTTGTTGTCAATTACTAAGGCTACTTTAATCCACATTTTCATTTTGAATTTACATGTACATTTGGAAGCATATTTGATATTCGCGAAAAAACATGATTTCTGCCTAAATCAGAGTTGTCTTCAATGATGCATCTTCTCTACTTGAGTTTGCCCACTTTCAAGTTTGACAAAAGTATGTGCCTCTATTATTTAATTACTTGCATTTTATATTTTTGTTTAAAAAATTATTTCTGTATTTCTGTTCAATAAAAGAGATGAAATCTTTTAAGGATGGTAGCATGTTTCTGTTATTTCTGATTTTCACTACTTATGGATTGAGGATAATTTGTTGATAATGCAGGTCAGGGAGGGGTCAATATTTATAAGGAAACAAAGTCTGATAACATCAAGTTTAACTTTATTTTTTTGGTTATTGGTTGATGATGGATTAAGATGCATCACTATCCAGAAAAAGGTGGGTCTACTTTAACCAGTAGAATATTAGATTCGAGTAATCAACAAAAAGGTGTCATAGCAAGTTGAAGCACAGAAGTAACACAATTGTCTTTATGTTTTGTTTGGAGTGGTAAAAGATGTGCCCATCTATACCAACTGAAATTTTGTCGTGATCATTCCTTAGGAGTTGCAATAATAATGATCCATAATACTGGATGTTTACATTTTTATGTAATGTGATTCTTTTTGTTCTGTAGAATTTATTATGAAATTTTATATGAATATTGATTGTTTTATATATTATTACTAGATATGTTTTAATTTTGTGTATACATGAATGCTTACAAAGAATGATTAATATTTAGTTTACAATATATGTCAGAACTTTTAATTTTTTAAAGATAATAAGACAAGTATTTACAGAGGTAGACAAGTCAGTAAGATAACCTACAACAATCAATTTTTTTGTCATAATAATAAAGGTTTAACAAATCGGAAATACTATTAACTAAAGAAAATATTGATCATTAAAAGGATGTATAACGATCAGTTTTTAGCCATAACTGAAGTTATTTAGCGACCGAATTTTTAATCCGATCGTTAACCTTTAACGACAGAGCTTTTAGGGACCACTGATGACCAGATTATTTTTGATCGTTATAGGTTAATAACGATCGGATCAAGACCTTTAGCGATCAAATTTTCTCTCACTAAAAAACTATTTTCTTGTAGTGGTAGTAGCCCCTCCAGTAATTTTTTGATAGAAAGAAATAAGTTTATATATTAGTTCTTCCATCTTCGTTCATTATTTTGTTCAAAGATAATTTCTTCCTTCTTCCATATATTAGATTGTGAAAAAACCTAGTGTTTCTATCTCCTTTTAAAAATAAAACCTGCTTTCTGCCTCCAAAATTTTTCCTCGTATAACTAGTATCTGTTGAACTTAGCTTGCACTTTCTATAAAATGGATCTGTTTGCAGTATTAGGTGGTTGATCTTTAAATAAAAATTCTTTCATTCTAACAATCTCCCTCGGTATGACTTGTTGCTTAAAGATATCACCATATTTCTCTTTACTTCAAAGAGATAAAACATGTTTTGTTCTCTTCATCTTTTGTTTCAACTTGGCAAAAATATTTTCCTCCCTATAGTAATCCAGTTACATTTTACCACTTTCTTAAAATCAACTTCATTAACGCATAACTTCAAAAATCTAAAAGGTTTCATGACTATTGTATTTTGATCTCCATAACTGAATAAAAAATGTGCATGTTTAGATACAAATCTAGCTAGATGTTATACTTCTATAATACCGTAGACATTTAAGAACTCTTGATTGATCACAATTCTATCCAACCTCTTACATTCACAAGCATTATTTATCCATCCATTCCACCATGTGAAAGGACTTTCTTTGATATCACTAGCAAAAACTCATATGAGTTAATACAAATAGAAATATCCTCATAATCATGACAATAAATTAAAAAACACCCTATTTTATCTTCATCACTCAATACAACATTGAAGTCCCCTCCTACCAATCAGGGTAAGTGCAAGTTGTAACCTACTGAATAGATAGTCTTTCAAAGTTGTAGCCTTTCTTGTGCACTCCATTTAGCATACACAAGAGTCGACATCAAAATCTGACAATTTGATAAGGTAAGTTGCAATGTTAACTGCTGCTCTGTATTTGAAATAACCCCTACGTGAATATTTCCTACACGAACACCCATTTTTTTTTATTCTTATTATAGTTAGCATATGACATGCTCAATCCCTCCTTATACTTCTGAATCTAACTTGTTTATTGAAACGATTCCATCAAATCAATAAAAATAATTGTGATAACCATATAAGATTTGAACTCAGTGAAAAGAATGATGTGTTATCTAATATTTCATATTAAAGCTTTAGATTTATGATGAATTTGATTTGGTCCCTCTCTTGGAATTGACCCAATAGTCTTGATGTTGTATTAACCTTTCATTTGTTTTTCCAATCTTTTATCAAAGCCTTTGGTGACAAGTCTGCATCCTTCTACATTTTTGTAAAATTGTTATGATTTTTCTTTCATTTGTCTCTTCAATTATTTCATTATCTTTTTTTTATTTAAATTTTATGTTGGTCTATTTCTTGAACTATCTGATAAGTGAAAATCTTGTGTAGCTTCAACATTGGGGACTCTTGCGTGTGAGGTAGTATTGACTGAGGTTAGGTGATTTTGTAACTGTATCAATAAGCATACTATATTTATTACTTAATATTAACTTCAATGATCTTGCACTTGTTTGTTTAGCTTCAAAAGTGACCATTTCAGGTGAGTATCTTTCTTCATAATTTTTTTGTATCTCTAAACATGTTCCAGGTAAAATCAAGACTTTATCTATGAGGACTACAATCAACTTTTTTATTTATCGCCTTCTCACCTGCTGCGATACGATAAAAATTGGGGCACTTATGATTGCACTTATCATCTCCTTCTTATCTTAATGGACGAAGCTCTTATGTTTGCAAGTGGTCATGTATGAGTGCCAAAACCTTATGTAGAGGTGTCCCATTACTAGCAGGGCTGCTAGACAATGTATCTATCTCATCATTACATTTGTCTTCTCGTACATGCGTATGTATTCTTGTTGAATTATTCTCTTTGTTCTGAAGCTATATTATCACCTATATACCTCTCTTTCGTATATATTAATTGACCCACTAGTGTCTAGTTGCTTCAATATTGTGCTCTTTATCATTCTTTGTTGTACCTGCATTCTCTGGTGCTTTTTGTGGGTCATCATCAATCAAGACGACAAAAGGATTAGCAGTAGTTGCTCTTTTTTCTTTGTTGTTTTAGCTATAACACTCATACCATTATTGTTTGCCTTGTGAATACCCTATGAGTTGAGTTCCATTGTTTCTTTGTTATACCCATTTCTCCTCCTTTGTTCCCTCTTCCTTCATTTTTTTCTTGCCCATTGCCTCAGTAGTCAGTATCCTCCAATTTATGTCTCAATTCAAAATGAAGCACTCTGCATTCTTCGTGGTCATGACTCATGACCTTAAAACTTGCACTCTTTAAAATATTTACGGAACATGTTAAATTGTATCTTAACATGTTCTACTTTTTAATGTTTTAGTAACATCACTCATAATTTTCATCTGTACGAATTTTAGAAAATCAAATACTAGATATACATGAAGATCTTAGCATAACTAGGTCTTGTCTTGTTAATAGTTACCATGTCGTGCATACTATTGTAACTAGGGGCGGCTCTATATTGGTTCAAGTGGGTTCATATGAATCCACTTCGTTAAAAAATAACTCCGTATATATATGTATATTTACTCAGTTTTTTTAATTTTTATATGTATATATTAACTTTTGAACTCATTAACACAAGTGTGACCCTTGCTCAAGTGGTGAAGAGGGTTCAAATTTCCCAACCCACCATCTTGAACTCACTTCGTGAAAATCTTGGGTCTGCCACTGATTGTAACCAAAGAAAATATGAGTTCCTTAATAACAAAATACGTAGGTTGTAAATACGAAAAAAATCCATGCTATAAGTGAATGTCTCTCCTTCAATATTAAATTTGACTTCATGTATTAATGACCTCATGAGATATTCATATCTATTGTTAGCCAAAATATAGTAGATGTTGTTGGAAATTATGTTCATAAAATCATGTTTGCCTATTGAATCTCATATTCATAGGAATATGACATATATTATGATTAATTGAGTGTTTCTCGAAACTATGCTAAAAGATACTGGAGATTTCCCTTTGCCGGCGGCCTTTGGTCAAACAAAAAGTTAAAAGAAGATATAAAATAAGGAATTTGAAGGGTGGTTTGGTATGTTCAACGGGAGTAGAATAATATTTTATGCTCCCCAGTCCCCAAGACATGGTCTTCTTCCTAAGAGAAATGCAGAAAATGGGACCCACTATCTCTGCACTTTCCTTCTTTTTAATCATTCGCTGGCGCCATGATTTCTCACTATTTTCCTTTTCTTCCCCTAATCGGACCGTGCTATGGCGGAGACTCACCGGCGGAGAAAGTCGCCGACGTTCGCCATCATTGTCTTCCTGGTGAGCTTAGTGAATTTGCACTTAAGCTCAGTCAAGTTCGTTTTGAGTCAATCCATAGTCAACGGTGTCGGCACCGCTTCACAACTCGATAATCCGGCTGTGCTTGATTTAGTTACTCGAACTGTATATGACCGTATATACAATCTGACGCTAGGCCTTTTCGACAACCAATTTTCGGATAAATTCAAATTCTGCATTCTGAATCGGTAAATCTTTGCTTATTATTATTTTTGTGTGTGTGGGGAAAGGGAAGTTGAATCACGATGAGACGACAGGGAATGTGATAACATTTATTTATAGTAAGAAAGGCAAATTGTTGGTCCAATTTAATCATTATATATGTTATGTTCTCGGATATGTAATTTATTCGTAATGATGATATGATGTGTTGCAGAGATGAAGAATGGAACCATGCCTTCAATTACTCATCTAATCTCGCTTTTCTCAGTGCTTGTGTAACCAGAACAAAAGGTATTTGACATTTTCAAATTCTATTTTCACAAAACGAAGCAACTGCTAGAGAGAGTCCTTTCAGACCTCCCATAGAATGACTTTATCTACTAAGTGTTCCTTTTTTTCTTTTGTTAGTTTGCAAATGTGATTTTAAGGTAGCAGCATGAGACAACTCGCATAAATTATCAACAACAGGAAAAAATGAAGGAGACAATTAACATCAAATTATTCTATTCATGTACATCACTTGGTGTTGTTGATTTGCTTTTGAAATAAAGTCACTTTTTTAGTAACTTCTTCTGATGATAAGTTTGCGGTGGTTGCATTTACTTTCATCTTGTTAGATCGTCAGTCTTGTTCGTATTTGATGCTATTAGCTAATCAAGTAATAAAGCTGTGATTACAATGTTAGCATTTTCTCCTTTGATGAGAGAAACAAGTTTAATTAACTGCAGACAATTAGATAAATACGGTGGCATCTTCAAGGGGAATTTATTTGTTATTGCAGAGCGAACTTTCAGGCCATAGACTTCTCCGCGGACTGTCACTTGCCTCGCATCTAAACCGTTCAAGATATACAATCTTGTGCATGATTACATTAGGCTTTTAAGATACAAGATATCAATCTCTTCTTGTTTGTCCTATTTTATTTTGAATGAACTATCCAGTTTGGCAGCCCAGAGTAAAAAGCATCCAATATTATCTGAACTCATAAATTGCTACTAGTATTAGTCCGAAATCCTATCCTTTTTTTAATACAAAGTT